AAGAATCAACTTGATATCTTTATGGCTATTTTAATGTTTTAATCTTGACCAGATAACAAGTTAATTGTTTCTTTCTAATGATATAACAGTAACACTATTATTATCATTGAATGTAATCAATTTAATCTTTGCTTGATTAACCCATTTGATCAGGTAAGTAACAAACTGGACAATCAGATGTGTTGACCATTGATATTTTATACTATTAATATTTCACCTTTCAAATGACGATCAATTCAATTGGACTGATTATGTTTCAAGTTTCATGACTATTATTTTTTGTTTTATCATTCGGTTCAGCAACTAACTTATCCTTGAATCTGTTGAGTGAAACTTTCTCCCAGAATTATTAATATATCAATCCAAATTAACCGTTAATCGTTATGACCAGTTGACCAAACCTTTTCTACCTTCAACATCTCCTCCTACTTTTCATCTTGGTTCCAAATTTCCTCCCAGTTAATCACTCAATCATCAGAATCCATCAACATTTACTATGAATTTCTTGCAATTTTCAAACCCAAAAAGTGTCACAGTTAATCAATGGAAACATATTCTCCTGTCCCTACACAATTGACCATCGAATTCACTTAACCATTAAAAGATAAGACGATTCAGTGGCAATCGGTCACTTTTTTTCTCGATAACAATCTAGTTTCTCAATTAGAGCCTTTGGCGAGTAATCTTCGATTCCTTAGAACAAAACTAAACCGAGAGAGAGAGAAAGGAAAAAAATAGATTTTCATCAGAATTTCGTTAATTCTTTCGAGAGGAGAGATTAACTTTTTTTTTAGAACTCGAGAGAGAAAAAATCTGTTCTATTAGAACTTTTTTTCGCTTCCATTCTAATCTATATTTCATTTGGTAAATCTCGAGGTGTTGGTTTATAAAGATTGACATTCTAACTCTAAACTAATAGGTTATCAAGGATAAAGTTGACAAAAGTAACACAGTTATATTTAGTTGACTGTGTTGATGATTAAGCTTCCTGGATGAAGATGAGGATAAAACGGTTGATGATGATGGAGAGAAAAAAAAAGTTAATGGAATTGAGAGGAGAAGACATTAGAAACCATTAAACAAATTGCAAGTTGAATTTTTTTTTTCTCCAGCAATCAAATCAAATGTTTACTATTTACTTTTCTAATCAGCCATCAATTATTGATTAACTAATATAACGGTATTTTCACCCACAACTTGATACATTAAAGTAACTCTCGATTACATTTACAAATGAATTACAAGGTTACCAATAATTAGAATGATGATAATAAAGATCATCATGAATTGTTGGTAAATCATATATGTACAGCTTATAAAGCGTATTATGGATCTTCATGTGCTCAGTAGTCACAATAAATTAGGATGTTAATGATGATGAAATTAACGATAGATAGTTAGTAGTTTCAGAAGATTTCATTAAGAGTAAGAGATGAAAAAAGTTCCAAGTGAAAGAGAAAAAAAATGAAACAATAGATATATTATCAAGTTAAGCTTTTCGTATTTTCAGTCTGATGGTCTGTGAAAAATTCAATCAACCGAGTACATGAGAGAGAGAGAGAGAGAGAGAGAGAGAGAGAGAGAGAATTTGGAAGATAATAGAACAAAATAAAGAAATAGAGAATATGAGAGTAATCAATGATGAGAAGAAATTCTTTACTTGAATATACAGAAAGAGAGAAAAAAGAACTGGAGAGAAAAGGAGAGAAAAACAATAAGAATAAGGAAAAGCAACAATAGCAAACGATTCAAATTCGAATATCATCATGACAGGTTCATTATTATCACGCTAAGTAGAGATAAAGTGATGAGTATGATGATGGTCATCATCCAAAAAGACCATTGAATCAGATCATCATAAATATGGGAAAGAAATCATCATGTATATAAAAAGAAAGTTCTAATATCTCATATTCGATGAAGAGAGAGAGAGAGAAAATATAACGATCACCATTTAAACTATTCATTCCTTGGAAAATGTAACACATTTGTTCAGATAAACACCGAGCATTTCCTCCATCAACTTTTCCTCTTTCGCCTTGAGATCATTTTTTTTTATTTATTGACCATTGGTAAGAAAAAAAAAGATGTTGGTCAAAAATAAGATTCCAAGTGAAAGAATTGACCTTAAGTTTGGGATTCATTTGATTCTTTTGGCTCTCAAAGGGAGAGAAGAAGAAAAAAATTGACCCATGGAACCATGAAACTCAATTGGACAGCAACAACTTTGACCATTTCTCCATCTTCATCTTATTTTTCACCATCATCATGAGTTTTATTTTCTTGTGTAAAGGCAAAGGTATGAAAAACGGAAGAAGAGCAAATGATGATGATTTTCAGGGAGAATGAGAGATGAAAAAAACAGTGAACAACAGAAAGAAAACATTTCAACGAAAAGAATATTGGAAAAAAGGAAGATGAGATGAGAAAATGATGATAACATAATAATAATAATGTGATTTTCTATCAAGAACAAAAAGGTTTCCAAAATTTCCCAATCTTATTATTTTTCTTTTTCTCTCTCTCCATCCTCATCTTCAATTTCCTCCTTTTCCACCCTCTTACCCTTTCATAATGATAACATTCTCATTCTACTGTAATATATTTATTCTTTCACACTCTTATTGTTCAACCTTTTTTATTATTATTTCCACCTCCCTTGATCGTCCCCACCCACACTCCATTGATCCAATTGAGCTTTTCCAATCATTCTGATATAATCTAAGCGTTTACCATGAAAATTCATTCACATTCAAAGTGGAAAAAGATATTCACCAAAAATAATATTCCTTTCAGTGGGTCAATTGTATATTCATTCATTTAAAGGCTCAGCATTTTGGGGGACAGTCCTGAATCATAATCGATAGCACTTGAATATCATCATAACGATGGTCTATTTATTGGACAGGGAATAAGCGAGAAATTAATTAACAGCTATGGTAAGTGATTAATTGATTAGTTGATAGACTCTAGAAAATTTTTTTTCCGTCTCTAATTAGTCTTGATTGTCCGTTTGTGTTATTAATACAATTGAACAATATTATTACTATGATGATCTTAATTTGCAATAGGAAACGATTAATCAATTTAAATCTAAACATTATCATTACATTATCGTGAATCATTGATGATAATTACATTTGATTGATGAATGAAAATGAAACTATTACAATCAAATCTTGTGCATGATAATAATGATTACTTAATATCAACATCAATTCAAGTAATTTATACAACTATTACATCACTAATGTTGATGGTGCTTAAGTGGGAAGGATTCTTGGAGGTGGGGTGAGTGAAACATATTACCTGAGATTCAAAAGGTTGCTTTAGTTAATGATAATCATGAAATAATGTTCATGATGATGATGATGATGATGATAATGAGTTAACGATATATATCAAAAATAAGTGTATCAATCAATCATGATGAAGAAAAGAGAGCGAGCGAGCGAGAGAGTGAGAGAGAGAGAGAGAGAGAGAGAGAGAAAAGTAAAAAAAAATCGCATCATGTTCATCAGAATAATTCTGGTTAATCTATTATACATACAGATGAACATGTAGCATTATCATGAGATCATAAAGATAAGAAAAGGAAGAGCAATCGTTTACCTTATCATCATCATCATTTGACTTTTCCACTGAAATTTCATCAATCATTATGGTTTTATCCTTATTAAAATACATCGTTTCATGATGATCATTTTTTATCCGAGAAACTTTTTTCTTCCCACCTTCTATTGTATCCACCAAGAGAAATCTTTCCCATGTGAATAGATATACTTGAGTTTACATACACACAAAAGATATTGATGCCTCATGAACTACGTACAAATGAATCAACTTTTCAATGAAATTCGCAATCTACTATTTCAATTCAATTGTTCAATCAACTGGACTTTCGTAATTCATATTTTTACATCGAATCTTCAATATTAGATTCAATGGTCATCTGTGATTAATTCGATGGAAATAACAACATTTCCATAGAGGTGAAAATGTCTCATAATCATCAGATAATCGGATGAAAAGAGGAGGAATAAGCTGAAAAAATTTCCGATTCCCCATGATAATAGATACATGATTGATTGATTTACACTCCTTCTCCCTTTTATTTTCATAGTGATAGAGAGAGAGAAAATAGTTTCGATAATATGATGAAGTATTATAATATTATATTCTTTGGGTGAAAAAGATTTTTGAATATAATATCAATATCATCAATTCAATGGGAGGGAAAATATTGTGGGAGGTGTTGATATTTTATTATCGGTTGTGAATTCATTTCCATCATATAATCATGATAATAATAGATATCTTTCAGTATTTACCACCATCACCACAGTTCCATGTTTATATTTTGCCACAAAAAGGCAAATAATATTACATCATGATGATGGTTGAAGGTGGTAAAGGAAAAGGATAGTAAACATGGAGGAAGAAGGAGAGAGAGGAAAAAAAATTATATTGTCTTTTTCCTTCAGAGACAAATAATGTATCATCATTAGAATCCATTGTCTGTCTAGTAGTTCTAGTTACGATTTATTATTATGTACTCATGATAATCTAAAGATAAGTTTTTTCTTTCCCATCGTTTCACTTTCACTCTCACTCTTTCTCACTGAGATTCTCTCATTATCATCATCTAACCGGAACTCACAAACCTAAATCATTTCCTTTCTCATTTCCAGTGTTATTATGATATAAAAACACACAGAAAATAAAATACACAAACAATAATATCCTGAGAGTTACTCTCATCTAAACAAAAGTCCAACTCAAATTAATTTCCACATAAAAAGTGACCAACTTGGTTCTGGTCAAGTAAAAATGTTCACTCTCTCCCATTACAGTAATTACCATGTACATTAGTGAACTACAATTTGGTCAGTTTGTGAAACAAAGTTTGATTTCTACTCTGTAATTTTACACACACACACATTCAGATTATAAGGTTAGTTAATTGAGTGGAAAATTAATCAAATTTAAATGAGACTTACCTTATGATTGGGAATCGCTTTGAGTTTCAAAACTTTGACTGCAACTTGAATCGAGGCACAACCTGATGAGGAGGGAATGGTTCCTAAGAAAACCTCACCAAAATAGCCATTGCCCAAGGGCTTTTGTAAGGTAATAAACTTTGGATCGAGTGATATTGGTCCTTGTCTATAACGGGTTAAGCTTTTATTCACCTCTTCCGGATCCTCCTCAAGGCAAACTGTAAATGATTAAGATGATATCATGATGAGGTAAGTGTTTATTATTATCATGATACTTATCATCATGAGATAGGGACTGTTAGGTCAGTTAAAGAGTATAAATTGTGAATCTTGAGGTACAAAATTGAATCAACTTATATTATATTTCATGGATAAACTTGATTAGTTTTTTTTTGTTGATGAAATGCTGAATTTGTTCAATTCTTATTCTGTTGAAGATAAATTATATTTGGTAAGAGTTTTTCGTTCTTTCTATCATTCATTCAGCTTTTCTGCTGATCAATCAGCAGATTTTGCAATCGAGATGTTAGATTGGACTTTCAGACCCACAAACATATATTACATTCTGTAAGTTCTGATGATGACAATCATGTATTAAACACCCACTCTACCCAACCAATTACACACAAATAACACTGTTCATGGTTCACCCTCCAGCTATTTAAATGTATTCTTCCTCACCATTTCATCCGCATCACTCCCATGTAAGTTTCATCTCTCCTGTAATCCAAAACTTATGACTTGTTTATCCACCAAAAGTTTTGTTTTATTTTGGAATCAAATTCAATTTCATCCAATTCACTTTCCTCTGTAATTCCCAACAATATTCAATAACTTTTGATAACCCATTTTCAGAATCTGTATGGAAACAATCTGAGAGAATCTGTTTCAACGGGAGTTAATCCTTTCCCTACAATTTTCATCATGGCTTAAGAATCATTAACGAGAACTCAGTTTATCACCATCATCATTACTGTCAGTTGAACTTTGATCAACTTAAATCAGAGAAAATAAAGTTAATCATTGAGAAATCACATGGAACTTGAAACATTGTGTCGATTAGACTGATTACTTTCTAGAAATTGATCTTTCAAAACGAAAAGTTCAATGTTTCATTTTCCAACTTTAAGAGAAAAGAATAGAAAATTTTTCAATTTGTTCTGTAGATTAAAATTCTCAGTTGCCTGTGTTTACATTCAGCTTAGGTAATGGATACAATTCTAAGAGGTACTGAATTTAATACCGATATTATTATCAACTTTTCTTACGAAAATTTTGATAACTTGTCCCCTGTAATTCCTGTGCACACTTTGAGCTCAAGGATTAACAAGATTTACTTCAATTGAAACATCATCATGCCAGTGAATGAATCACTCAATCTAATATCATGATTACTTTTGGAAATAAACTCCAATATTTTAAATTAACTTTCGATTTGTAGTTTATCTGAAAAGTTCAAATTTATCCTTCCCCTGGTTTCATCTAACGATTTGACAGTACAAGAGGAAATCGAAGCAAATTCAATAGATTTTATCGTTTGAGAGTAAAGAATAGAGTTGGAAAAAAAAGCAGAACCAGAATTTTCAATTTCCACCCATGAATTATGTTCATCATAATCTAATTTAATCAGCTTGTTATCTCATTGAATTTACGATGATAAATGTTACAATATAATTATGTTTAATTAACATCATGTTCACCGTGATGAGTTAATTAAAATGAAACAGAAAATGAGAAAGAATTTCATTCAAATTAATGATGTATCATTTCAAGAGTGAATTATCATAAGCTTGTTCCTATGATTATTCCTTGATATTAATTCCATGGAAAACTCATGAGAGAGAGACAGAAAATTGTAATAATAAATATTTTCAAAAGTTCTGAAAAGTTCTGACTTTTCAATTCTCCATTTCATCTCTAAACAAATGTCTCATATTTCATGGTATCACCTCCCATCTTTTTTTGGCTTTTCGAACTCAATTTTTTCTCATCAATTGAATTGAACTTTTTTTCATCCTTCTCTCCTTTCCCTGTTTTCATGTCCATCTCTAAACTGACCATATTGAAAATGGTCAAGGTAATAATTTAACTGTCAAAATGACCTGACAAGCATAAGAAACAAGTCAATAACTAATAATAATAATATACCAAATGTAATACATAAAAAAGTTACATTATAAAACTAAAATGACAGAAATGGAGGGTTGAGATAAAAAGAAAAGTTCTAATCCCATTTATGTATTAGAAAAAGTTTTCTTCCATTATAATATATTGTACCATTATCATTATATTTACTGTATATGATTTTCATGATTCATTTCAAGTGGATAACATGATGAAAGGCAACAAAAAGTTCTGAATGAGAGAAAAGGAAAACTTTTTCTTTTAAGTTTCGATTTCCATGATAATCTTTTGAAAGATGAAGATGAACAAAAGAGTAATGAGATGTATAGATGAAAATTTTATCGAATCGAATCGATTACTTCGAGTTCTTCGTTTTTTTGTTCGATCTTCGTTCTGACTTTAAATCGATCAATTTAGAGAGAGAGAGAGAGAGAGAGAGAGAGAGAGAGAGAGAAAGCGAAAGTTCCATGAAGAATTTTTCGAGAAAAAATTTCTTCTCTCCAAGAATCTTTATTATCTTTCTACTCATTGAATACCTTGAATAACTTAGAATCATGATGTTGGTAGAAATTTTTTTTTTGCTCTGAAAAATTTAGATGAAAATGATGATGAAGTTTCAATACATCAAACATGATTCAATTCCCTCATGAAACTCATTCAATTAGGAATATTATCTGAACTTTTCATCTCCTTTCTTTTTTTTCACTGCTTATCATGAGTTCATTCATGATACCCAATTGAATTACCCTTTTGTTTCATCTTTATTATTGGCAAAACAAATGATCAGCTAAATTGGGTTGAATGTTTCCCTAGAAATCACTCCCATGATCATCATGGTGAAAAAGTATCAATGATCAGCAATAAAAAAAATCACCGTTAGTATAAATCAACAAGATGAAATTTATTGAAACATTTTTCTGATAATCAATAAAATTCACCTGAGGTATTACACCAAAAATTTCAACCAATCTAGAAATTGATTGATTTCATCTCGAGTTTGGGAATTTCAATAAACAAAATCGATGAAAATAAAAAAAAATCATCCATGTGAACACAATTAAGCGAAATCATTTGTATGGAATAAACCAAAAAGTTAAATTGCTGCTAAATTAGCTTAAAGTGAGATTGTTGTCAAGCTTAATTGTTAATTGTCAGAAAGAATAATCTCGAGTCAGGCTTGTAGAATGTAATTTGAATTAATTGCAACCGAGAGACAATTAAAGTAATTCTACCGAAGAGTTTGTCTCTCTCTCTCTCTCTCTCTCTCGATCTATTAAAAGACATATTATATCACCTGAAATCGTTTAATTGCAACAATTAAATTAATTGAAAGACAAAACTAGGAGACAATCAAAGAAGCCAGAGAATTTTATATAACTTTGTATTTAGAATTTCAAAGTGATGAGATTCATGAGAAATAATGTCAGAACATTTCACTTTTTTTCTTCTCTAATTATGAATAACCAGATTTTCTGGTTACTTACCACAGAAAAGAGACTTTATCATCTCATTATCTTCATGATGTGTGTGTGTGAGAGAGAGAGAGAAATAGATAAAGGTAAGAATGGAAATGAATTTAGAAAAAAGTAGAAAATGTTATTCAACAATATCATTTCCATTGGAATTTTAGTAATTTTTTGACATGGAACAAATTTCCAGGGTGAATTCAGGTAGTAATTGTTTTCTCTGTTCTTTGTATCTGGTTCTGTCTCTCATCAAAGTTCAACAGTTTACCTGCATGGTAAATGAAAAAGAAGAAAAAAACATTGGATTTCCAGAACCACCAGGAAAATGAAGAGGAAGAAAAAGTTCAACCATGAAAATCTGATAGTTCTGAAAGTGTAATGCTGATAATATAAGGAGAATGTAAAGAAAAACGAAAACGGGGAAATGAACATCTTGAGATAATCACTGATTTTATTCAGATTACATGATCTACATGAATTTAGATATAAATGGAAAACAATTGTAATACCATTTCAATGGATCAAATTAAATGAATGGGAAACAAGTTGAAACATTGTTTAAATGATGGAAAAGGAAATCAATGAATGATGATAATGGTTTACATGAACAGATAACAATAGGGATTGAATTTGTTTCAATTTCCATTGTTTCATTCATTTGAATTACATGTGATTTACATTTAATTAGTAATCAAACTAACGTGGAAACTTGTTGCCTGGGAATTGAGTTTTATTATATAACTGAAAACATTATCATCTCAATCAAATAACTGATTTTTCATTAGCTATTCATGATAGTCGCAAGTAAAAAATATCTTCATGAATTCATCTCCTGGTTTTTTTTGGGTTAGTGGAAATTGATTTGATTCAAATCAGTTCAGAATTCAATTGTTACAGGGAAAAAACTTATTGTCAGGATCTGGTCTGATTCTGAAGCAGATTCATAAAGTTTCATGAGAGCCACGAATAGCTGATGAATTAGATATCAATTAATGGAAATGGTGAAAGAAGGAAAATGAAAAAGTTGAACAGAATTTGTTCAGTCTCGTGAAAGTAGTTTTCCATTTGAGAATGAGAATCATTGAAGATGATGATGGTCTTGGATTAAAAGAACTCACCAAGGAAAAAGGTTGATACATTATCATCATCATCATTCAAGTTTCAACGTCTTCCTCGTCATTATCTTCATTTTCCGCTGAACTTTTTTTCCTCTTTTCTCATGAAATTTTTTCTTAGCTTTAAGTAGCTTCGAGAATCATATAATGTGATATTACGAATGAAAAAGAAAATGTCTAAACCAGAGAGAGAGAGAGAGAGAGAGAGAGAGAGAGAGAGGAGGGGGGAGAATGCTGATGATGATGATGGAAGATGTATTTTCTATTGTGAATTCTATATCTTCTTCTGTCACTATGGAATCTTCATCATAATGATGAAGAAAAAACCACTTTCTCTATCATCATCATCATCATTATTATTAAACTCATTACTATTTTCGTCAAAAAGTGATGATCATCACGACGATAACCAGAATTATCAACCACAGGGAAGGAGAAAAATATATTAGAACTTGAGAATTGAGGGAGAGAAAAAAGTTCTAATAAAAGAAGAAAAAATCAATCCAATTTTCTATACTTTTTTCTTGACACACACAAACTCTCACCTTTCACCAAGAATAAAAGTATCATGTTACATGATGTTGATAAGAGAAAAAAAGGTGAATAAAATCATTAGTTTAATTGGAATTGAATCAAAAAACCTTTTTAGATCAATTAAAAGTGAAACTTTTCTCTCGAAAACCATTCACAACTTATTATTTCAAAATCGAAAGCATTAGAACCTCTCAAGTTGAAGAACAAGTGAAAGTGAGAAGAGAAAAAAACTTGAAAATAGAAAATTCATCAGAATCGTATTAAGATTAGTTGTATTATTTAGAATTGTGTATAGATGGAAATTTTTATTCATTCTCCTGATTCGAATCTGATATTCATATTCAATATCATCATGATTGTTTTTATTCATTTTGTATATTCTCATGAGAGTGAGAAAGCTTCATGATGTAAAAGAAAATACTTGTATCAGAATCAGAATCAGATAACTATCATTATCTTCACATATATATGTTCATGGGTAAATTCATGGTACCTTGAATGCTCAATAGATTTGGAAAATAATTTTTTTTTTCTATTAATATTATATTCATTAGTATCAATAGGGTTTATATATTATGAGTAACATGATAATTCTGATTTCAAATGAATAATTACAGATTGTTAAAAGTAACATATTATTTTCATTCTCATTCTGATAATAATCATGAGCTTTATGAATACTTTCAATGAGAATTAACAAAAGATATGAATCCATATGTAATTATATATATATATCATGAAAGTTCAACTGATGAACAATCGTAAGGATTTAAAGTAATAAAAAAAACAAAGAGAAAGAGATAAAGTTCCAACTGATTTCAAGTGCTAGAAAAGAGAAAGAAAATTTCACCGATAATCTCACCATAAGCTCATCTGATTGATTGTTTGCTTGGGAAAGATTCAGAATTGATTTTCTCCTAACTTGCAATTGGAAAGTTTGAATTTTTTTCTTTTTCCATTTTTATGTGTATTCTCAAAATTCTGACAGATATTGAGCATAGAAAATGCTCCATGTTAAGTTCATTTTTACATCACAATCAATTCAACGATTCTGATCTTCTGTTTGTCATGTATTCTTACCTTAACCTCCATCTATCTCTTTAACTTGAAACTGACATTGAGTGTCACTCTTGGTGACATCATTTACCTTTATATTACTCTACTCAGAGAGTAGTTGAAGTCATGATAAAAACACCATGAATCTTGGAAAATAAATTCATGTTGATAATCATACAACAATCAGGCACTGAATAGATTGAGATAGAAACCAATGGCTCAATATGACAGCTATTTTAATCTATTGCATGATAGTAACAGTAATTTCTGAGATTTTCATATTCATCAGAACTGAAATTTTCTCATATTTCATGAAGAAATCAGAATTCTAGATGATCAGAGTTACTTTTGATTTTTTTTTCTCATCTCTAGTTTTGGTTGGTGGATAAATTTTCATAATAATGATGATGATGATGATCAACGTCAAATGAATTTTTCATGATTTTCAGTGAATGAAATATGAATGAATCTCATGATGAATTTCATGATAAACAGTTATCAGAACTTTCAACAACAATCTTATACTTTCATCATGTTAAAACATAAGAAATCATTTGTTTCAATTTTCATCAGCTACTAAAGTGAAATTAATATAAGTAAAAATCCTGGCAAATGTCAAATGTTCATGAGTCTGAATCTTATTCATTTAACTGAAAGTTCAGTGTATGAGTTTCATTTCATTACTATTATCACAAAGTCAGAATACTGATCTTTCTATCGGAATGAACATGCTAATTGAATTACTGTTCATACTTTCTCATTGCAAGAATGAGTAAAGACAACGAAATAGTAATAATAAGTTTGAATATCCAATGATTATCAAATTATAAAGTGAATTGGATGAAAAGTTCATACTGAGAAAAGAGATTAAAATAATTCAACTTCTTGAGTGTAGTGATTAAGGCTAATTGATTCACAAAAGAAGTCACAATTAGTTGTCCAGTGAATATAAATTGTGAAACTTGATCGATCAGGTTAACATTCAGATTTGAACATGAAATGAGAAAATAATTTATCATGAAAATGATACGATGAATGCTGGTGTATTCATTGATATTCACCAGAAAAAACAATATAATCTGTTGGTGTGTATAATATGTTGAGAGTTTAAAGTTTACTTGGAAATTTGCAATTCCAATGTAATTCATGTGAAAGGTACATGGAAAAAGAAAGACAATTTTCATGATAATCTATGAATCTTTTTTCTTTCCTTTGAACTTTTTTCGTTATATATATAAAGAAATAAAAAAAGATTTCCACTCAATTCAGTTTCTTTTACGAACCAATAACCTGAAGAAAAGTTTCCAAGATCAAGATTACCCTGGTTACCTAGGGAACTATCGAATCTGCTGTTAGAAAGTAACAAGTTTCAAAAAAAGAATATGAGAGAGAAAAGTGAGAGAGAGAAAAAAATTCTCAGCTTATGATGTAAATTCATATTCCATTCTTTAAGTTATCTACTGAATACCTGGAGGAACTGTTTGGAAAACAGTTTCCAAACACATGGAAGTGAACAAGAAGAAAGTTCTTGATCATTAACATGAATTTCTTATTTGAAATGAATTCTGGTGAAGATAAAAACCAGAATTTTTACTCAATTGTTTTTCTTTTTTCTTCTTGTTAAAAATTCTCTTTATTTTTCTTATAATCTTCACTCTTTCCCTTTTGAACATTCAATTAACTATCTTCTTATAGTAAATACACTTATCGTCTTCAATTCATGAGATTACCAACTTGATTCATGGTGATAAAGTTTCAATTCAATCATGAATCCTCATGAATGTTGACATGTTAATCAATTGTGGGTAAAAAGTTGTAAAATCAACCAAACACAAGAATCGATCAATGAAAATCAATCAGCATCAGGAAAGTTACTTAGTACCGGTAAGAGTTAATATTACAAACTTTACTCTAGAGAGATATCCAGGAGATAAATTTATCTTTCAGAATATTGGAATAAAATATTACAACTCGAAAATTTGAAATTCCCTCATTTCAACAAATTCCCAGAAATTGTAGAAAATAAAAGTGAATCAAACTTTCATTTGACTCAAGATTCACAGAGAGATTGGTAATTTTTTTGGAATTTAGTTTGAGGTCGAAATGTACTTACTAAGGTCAAGTTCATTTAGTTTAACTTGAGATCCCGACGAAGTGGACTGAAGGCTGGTTAGACCCAATGAGGCTTCCTTGACAATGAACTCACGATCAAACTTGAGAGCATCATAATCATACATTGATATAACACCGGAAGCATCAATTGATGTCCAATGAGTTGTTGTTGATGATGAAGGTTGTTGATTCTTTGTTGATCCCAATAAACCAAGTTTATTGCATTTTTGTCTGATTTCCGGTCCAATTTGAGATGAACAATTATTATTAATAACATTAGCTGATTCACTTAATATATTAGGTTCACTTGAGCGTCTTTTATCATCGGACGTTGGTAAGAAGCACAAATCAAATTCTCTCAGAACTTCAATTGAAGGTCGAGTTGCTTCAATCTCTTTCATCAATTCTTCATTAATCTCTTCGTAATTTGGATTATGATTATCATCTTGATGGGTTGGTGATGAACAATTAACTTTTTGTAAGCACTTGTTGAGAAATTCAATGTTACTTTCATTGGGAATTGATGAAGATGAACTCGGTGGTTCTGATGGTGTTTTCAGTGAATTCAGTTCAGAGGAGATAGACTTTGATTGAATCACAGATTCACTTGGTATTGTTGGTGTTGTTGTTGCTGCTGTAATTGAAGGTGTTGATGTGGTTGTTGTTGTTGTTGTTGTTGAGGTAGTAGTCGGGGTCGTAGTGGTAATGCTGGCTGAAAATGTTGTTACTTTGTCATTTGGACGGGAGTTATGATTAATTTCATTAGTACTAACTACTAATTGGGCACAATTAGAGGCATTTAAATTGTTAAGGCAACTTGAAGGTGTTGTTGTTGTTGTTGTTGGTGATATTGAAGATGACATTGAAGGAGTAAAGGGATTGGTTGATGTTGTTGTTAGTGTTGTTGTTGATAATGATGATGATGATGATAGTGGGATAATCTCATTGGTATTTACTGTTGTATTAACATGAGGTGATGTTGGCCAATTTGATCCCCTAAAGGTTTGATTAAAATAACCATCGGTAATCAATTCAATTAAAGTTTTAATCTGTTGATTACAATGTTGATGTAATTTCAATTGATCATCATCAATCTCATCTTCAGTAACAATCTCATCAAATAATAATAAATCTGAACGATGATTATCATCATCATCATTTCCATTACAATCATCTAATGATGATGATTTACGTTGTAACTTAATTATCTCTTGATTGGCATATTGGACAATTGATTTAATTGTATCAGTTGTACCTGGTTTACTTTTTCTAGGCACTGGAAGAGGTGGGATTAGGATTGACGATGAGTTAGGCAACTGATTAACTTTATCATTATCATTATCTTGACTATTCAATTTATCTGGATTAACGACAATTTCATCATCAAAAGGTGAGATTAAAATTTTCTGGCTAATTGTTGTTGCTGTGTAAATATCTTCAACACTTGATGATTTAATGATTCCCTTAACTAGATAAGGTCCTGAGGTACCATTAACCTTGAATCCACCATTAGGTTTACCTTTGACATACTCGACACCATTTAAACTATTGCCAAGTGAAAGGTTGTTGGTGGGTTGTTGTTGTTGTTGTTGTTGTTGTGTAGAGATAAATGTTGTCACTCCATTTGATGTTGAGCTAATCAACTGATTACTGGGACAATTAAAGGTTGATAGTAGATTATTATTGTTGTTATTATGATGCTGGTGAAGATTATTGGTTATAAATGGTACTTGATGATTAGAATCACTTTCGATTTCATCTTTAACGTTTCGATTTGAATTGTTAATCTCTCGCCTTGGAAATAAATCAGTTTCCTGATAGTGATTTGATTCTGTTACAATCTCATTAGTCCCATGGGTATTTCTCAATAAATTAACATGATTAGAATTGAAATTATTTCCTCTGTTTAACAGGAAATTGTGATTAGGATTATTAATCCAAGGTGAATTAATCTCAACATTCAATGAACGAAAGTTTAATGAATTTTGATGACCTAGAAAAGTGAGATTGAAAGAAATAGAATTCAAATTGAGAATTAATTTCTCGAGAATCGAGGAAAACTTTTCAATTACTTTTTAATTAATTGACTTTTGTAAACAATTTCCTTTTGTTTTTCTAATCACAATTAACTTTCAATTAAATAACAAGCTCTGTAATATCTTATACATATCAACCTTTCACCTCTCAGTTTGACTTCACAAAATTGATCAACATTTACATTTGATAAATATTAGTTTTCATGAGTCCACATGAATACATTGAATTGAATTATTGGCGTGAAAGGAAAAAAAATCATTCAGTAAATTGAATGAAGTTTATATCAATATCTAAATGTATATTGTATATGTATGTAGATTTATCTAAATGAACATGATACATGGTAAGAGTTATATGTGTGTGTCTATACAAATACACATGAACTTTATTCAGATTTCATGGAGATGATTTAAGTTGATCGAGAAAAGGAAATATCTTATTTATAAGGAATTGAAGAGTAAATTCTGAACATTGAAATTCGATCCTTTTAAAAGGGATAAAATTGAAAACTTGCTAATATCGATTCGTTTCAATTAATCTTAATCTTTGATTCGTAACTATTAATAACTTTGGTGATTTATTTTACCAGCAGAAATATTAACATTTTTTTTCTGTCAATTTCCAATCAATTAGAAAGAGTAGTAAGTAGTGTCTATTGCCTGTTATGGGCGGAGCTTAAAGTTGTCTGGGGGTGGGTACCTGAAGTGGGGAGAGTGGTCTAAACAGGAAAGACATGAATATTTAAGACTATATTTTTGTCTAGTTCCTAGTAGCCAAGCGGAATGGCCAACTGCAAGGTTACTAAGGATTCGTGGGTTCACGTCCACTTCTAGGCAGCAACTCTCTTGGCGTCTCGCTAGCCCCTTCCAGTTGGACTGATCAACCAACAAGGTGGCAAAGTGAGGCAAGGTCCGCCCACCCAAGACAAACAAGACCAGATGTGTTCTACACTACCGAGTCTACCCCAACAAAAACCAACAAACAAAACAACAAAAAATCTTCAAATAAAATCCGCTTGGGGTAGATAGGTAGTGTAGAAGCATTTTGCATTTTTTTTGTTTGTATATAAGTTAATGGTACTATATACACTATGTACATGTATACTCATATAATAAGCGCTAATTTCGAATCAATGAAATTAAAAGGAAGATATTAGAAATGAAATAAATAGAAATAATAGACGTTATTAAGGAAAGGGAAAGCTATTTATTGTTAATCACAACATAACTACATATACACTATGTACATGTATACACATATAATAAGCGCTAATTTCGAATCAATGAAATTAAAAGGAAGATATTAGAAATGAAATAAATAGAAATAATAGACAATATTAAGGAGAGGAAAAGCTCTTTATTGTTAATCACAATTATCATCGACGAACTTTTTTACATTTAATCACTTCATAAGAATCTTTATGAGGACGCTTTTTAATAAGAATTGGTGAAGGTCCAAATAACCTACACGGTAATAAAGGAAGTCTTTTGAATGGAGTTTTTACAATTGGTGTTGAATGTGTGGGTATGGTTGGAGATGGTGTATTGTACTCTATCTCACTTTCATCAGTGAATGTACTCCAGTCGCTCGAATGGTCCGAGATTGATGTAAAGGATTCACTTGTTTCAGTTGGAGGCGAAGTGTCACTTGAGCCAAGGGTAATGGTCGAGTTTGATCCAATGGTGATAGTCTCATCATACTGTTCAGCAGTTGATGGTTTCGGGGCAAGTTCTTCCTCGTCTTTTTCTTTATACTGAACCACCATCTGATCAACGGCATGGACGAGGTATGAGGCAGCAGAAGCCCAGTCCTTGGTCTCTGATAAGGATACTCGAAGAGCATTCAATAAGTTGACTACCTCAGCGAGAGGAACTGACCCATCCAAGCTATAGGGATCTAAGAGAGCTGCTCTAGACGATGTATTCAAGGAAACAAGCTCCAGCAGATCAGGTCGTTCACCATCATTAACATGAGGAGTACAAGTAACATCAACAGGCAACGCCGATGGACCAAATATCATAGTAAAAGTTGAGGGTGATAGTGTGAGCTCGGCAAGAGATGACGATAAAGGAGGGATTGAAGACATTGCAAAAAGCAGAGGAAAAAGGTAAGTTAAAAAGAGATAGAGAGAGTTGTATAGCAAGAGTGAATGAGTAAAGAAGACTGATGATTTTCAACAAAATAAACTTGGTATTTATGTGGAAAATAGCTCACTCGGAAGGTAACGCCTATTGTCATCCACTCACTCCATGGATCTCCTTCTCCTATCTCCTTCCCATAATAAAACAAAAGTTATCTCTCTCAAGACGATAATAATCCTTATCTTCTGCAGATGGCTAATGAATGAACCAAGATAAAGAAGATAGTTATAACTCTTTTCCTTTGGGAACACAGATGGTCACAATAATCCTTTCCTTCTATCTTCCACAGATGATTAATGAAAAGAACTAAGATAAAGAAGATAAGTATAACTCATTTCCTTTGGGAACACAGATGGTCACAATAATCCTTTCCTTCTATCTTCCACAGATGGTTAATGAAAGAACTAAGATAAAGAAGATAGTTATAACTCTTTTCCTTTGGGAACACAGATGGTCACAATAATCCTTTCCTTCTATCTTCCACAGATGATTAATGAAAAGAACTAAGATAAAGAAGATAAGTATAACTCATTTCCTTTGGGAACACAGATGGTCACAATAATCCTTTCCTATCTTCCACAGATGGTTAATGAAAAGAACTAAGATAAAGAAGATAGTTATAACTTTTCCTTTGGGAACACAGATGGTCACAATAATCCTTTCCTTCTATCTTCCACAGATGGTTAATGAAAGAACTAAGATAAAGAAGATAGTTATAACTCTTTTCCTTTGGGAACACAGATGGTCACAATAATCCTTTCCTTCTATCTTCCACAGATGGTTAATGAAAGAACTAAGATAAAGAAGATAGTTATAACTCTTTTCCTTTGGGAACACAGATGGTCTTCTGAATTCTCTCATACAGATGTATTAGTATTGCAGATGGAAGACTCATATGAAGAGAAACTAAGAAACAAGCTCCCTTATCTTCTTCTAGTATAACATAAAAGAATGAAGCTATTGTAATTCAGTTCAAAGTGTTCTTCCAAACAAGTGACAACTAACCCTTCTATTGGAATTCTTCTTTATTTATTTCTCTTTCTTTTCAATATGGAAATACGACCTTCACCAACAACCTCTCAAGGTTCCAACAATGATTTAGATGGTGTATTTAAAGTACTTGATGAGATATTGTGGGATGATGAAATGAACTGTGACAGTGACGATGATATGTGCTACAATTTTATTCTACCAACCAACAATGAGGTTAACTTACTCCCCAATTTTGAAACTGACCAACAGAAAGATTGTGACAATGAAAACAATAGTGTAACCTTAAATATTCCTCTCTCTACAATTGAAGACGAGTTAGATAAGTACATGGAATGTGAAGATGACGATAGATTGTGCACCAATATAGTTGTTGACGCTGATGAAGATGTTAATGAACAGCCAAAAAGTCATGAGGTTTGTATGCTTGACATGTCTCAAATAGCCGATTTAATTAACACTCATACACCAACATTAGAACAGTCCCAAAGAAGACAAACATCATCAGATTGCTCTACTTGTTCTACTAATACTTCTTGCAGCACTTGTAATTCATGTGATACGTGCACTACTTGCTCAACCTGTAGAAGCCAATCTTCAAATGTAACCATGTCCTCCATAAACTCATCAATGGCCAGTGAGTCGATAAGTGATTCTCCAGTGGATACCGTTGCTGTACAGGCTTCATCAATGTTACCACAAGAAGGATGTGGAGCTGATTCGAGCCAACTTAATAGTGATGAAGCAGAAATAGAATTCCAAGTTATTGATGAGCAGCCTTGGCGCACAAACAATACTTTCCACTCTATGACTAAACTTCTTCGTGCACGGTTGAATAATAATCTTTCTAACACAGTTGACATTGCTAGGCTTTCACAAACAATTGATACAGCGTACGAACGATTTGTTTCACAACTCATTGAAGATGCAAGCGATAATGACAGGATTTTCATAACTTTCCGAAATCCACAAGAAAATCGGGAACTCTATGTTTCTTTTCTTAAGAAAAACTTCAAACCACAAGAATTTCTAGATCGTGCTTATGCTCTTGCTCAATCAGCTGGTAACTTTCTTGATGACAGTGTTCTTGAAATTAAAATACAAATCGTTAAGTGTATAAGTGGAGGATCTAAAGCACGAGTTTCAAAACTTTTAACAGGACCTGAACGAGCAAGAAGAAAACGTAGTGTTTACGAAATCATCAATGATGATTACAAGTGTGGTTATCTGGCAATAGCTGCAGGCAAAGCTTACGTTGATGAAGTGATATTGAAGGGTAACAAAGTTTACTGGAAAAATTTGAAACAGTCTAAGAACCGATTAACAGCCCTCGCAGCAAACTTGTTTATGGACATGCCGATTGATGCCAGTGGACCATTAAATATTCAAAAAATATCAGACATACAATCTTTAATACCAACATATCAGATCATTGTTGTAGATCAAAGGACACAGCTGAAACTATATGCAGGACTGGAAACACAAAATAAAATCATTTTAGAGTACAGTGAGCCACCGCATTTCAACCTTATTACTTCCATGACAGGGTACATGGACTGTGATGAATTCTGTTTCAACTGTTGGTTAAAGGTCGATAAGATAAGCCACGTTTGCAAGGGTTCGTGTAAACAGTGCCATGCAATTAAGTCTTGTAAACTTGATGAAATAATTACATGCAGTGAGTGTAATGTAGATCTCAACTCAAGACAATGTTATGATCAACATATCACAAATGGTGTTTGTGGCCGTATTATAAAGTGCAAACAGTGTTGGGTTACTTTCGATGCAACAAATGGGGATCATGTGTGTGATATTTACAAATGCA